ACGCATAATTAGGTGTGGCTTATAGGGCTATCATGGAAAGTTGTAGAAGAAGAAAGCAAGCTCTCAAAGAAAAGGTTCATTATTTTATAATTTATCATTATTTTATTGGAGGTCTAGTACTTAAAGAAAGCACAGGATCTCATATCAAAGAAGAAATATGAAAAGTACAAGTAAGTTGGTCCATAAAGTTAAAAAATTAATTATTTTTGTTCTTATTAATAGGGTAACTGATGTCTCCTGGAGTGACCCACTGATCACCAGTACACCTTTGATTACAAGAACACGGTCCACTTTACCTTCCTCTCTTCGCCTCTCTCCTCATCGGGACATTAGTGAACTTCAACGAGTGATAGAAGATCAAAACAAGGCCATGAAAGAACTGAAGAGATTACTATTAGCGTCAGTGGGCGGTGAAATGGGCACAGAGATAGAGACGCTAATACGGGATAAGGTGACTTTAGAAAGCAAGTTAAATCACTCAATAACGGAGCTAATGGAGATGAACGAGGAAATCGAGGGACTTACGATCGAATGTGATGTATGGAAATGTAAGGTACTTGCTAGTAGGCTACTCATTGACGAATTGAGAGAATGGAAGGGGAATCATTATCACCTATCAGTCAATACATTACAGACATTGATAGATGAAAGGGATCAGCTAACGAACCATATCAAAGCGATACACCAACTTGTCAATAACATTAGTAGAAAATTAATGAGTACTAGCTCGACAGCCAATAGCACTGCTAGTGGGATAAAAATAGCAACAGTGACTCCTGTACAGTTACAGCCTATACATCAAGGTATTGTTTATTGTTGTTGTTTACTTTATTGTTTGTTGTTTCTGTTTATTGTATTGCTTGTTGTTCCTGTTTATTTTATTGTTTGTTGTTGTTGTTTATTTTGTTTGTTGTTGTTGTTTATTTTATTGTTTGTTGTTAGGGTGCAACGTATTAGAATTGGCTAAAAACACTAGCGTTGCAGTTCAAATGATTTCCGATAAAATAAGTGCAAGGCACGAAGCCACGCCCATGCCCTCGTTGCTATCTCTTAATACGTCACTCACTGAAGGGGAAAAATTAGCTCATAAAGTAAAAACAATAATTAAGTAGAACATGATAATTACGATAATTATTAATAGCTATTGTATCCAGTGCCAAAGGAGACAACGCCCACCAGTAGAGGCCTGCCACACCTCTCATTCAGTGAAAAGACACTAATGGAACAACGGAAGCATCAACAAGCACGGACGCTACCATGGACCGATGGTCACCATGATGGCAATCATGACATCGCTAATAACAATTCTTATTATTTTTGTAATAAGTGTTATGGAAGGGCAATCATGATTATTTAAACAAAAGGTGAATACCCATGTATACAGTAGTATCTTTTAAAGTGTCTATGAGTTTATGACAGTGCAACTAAAGTACATTGCACTTTCTGTTACGACGAGTGGTGTTCCTCTCATCTTGAGTGTGATCAACCCACGCCTCAATCAATCCAAGCCTCTGATTCACAGTACTTGTTGCGCTGGCAGGAATGGGTGTGGATTCTATGATAGAGGGCGTGATAGACATGGATCGGTGGGAAACAGAAATGGATCCGTGACCT